TTTATTTTTGTTGGAGTGGTGGATCATTGGTGGAATGATAACTGACAGGTGAAAACCCCAGTGCCATTTTGTCCATCACAAATCCCATGAGGACTATCCTAGGACTGAGACCTAGCAGTCTGAGCTACAGCATGCTATAAAGTGGCCTTACACAATAGACAAGCATTTCATCTGACATACCCACAATGTGTGTTCTATAGATCTTCATCTTTTTTTGTGTGCGCACTACAACAGTAAAATTAAGTTCTTATACAATATTGTTATACCACACTGGACTGCTGTTTCTTCTCAAATGTGGCTGAAATCTATTGAAGGAATATAAAACTTTCCAGTCCCTTCAAATTTTAAATATGTGTGTTTAATTACAATTTTTGTACTCTTATATACACCACAACAAATTCAGAATAAGGTAAAATCTAGTTTCTACATCTTATCACAGGACTGCAAAATAAGCAAACTTGAAAGACACCTACTGGAAATATGAATTTAAGTAAAAATTACTGTGATATGATATAATGTTTACTCAGATATATAGGGTGTTATTTTCTTAATAGTGTGCTTCCTGTTGTGTGTCATAAATAAGATATACAAAAGTATATAAGGTATGCCATCAACACAACATTCTGTATTTAGAAAACAAAGAAGACAATACTGTATCAACATTTGTTATATTATGTTTTTACAGATNGCTCAATATTCAGTATGTGATGTGGTTCAGAACGAAGGGAGCAGCCCGTACACACCAATAACATACATCACATACTGAATGAGCATAAGCTCCGTAAGACATTACTAAGGTCATGACTACATGACATATCCCATGTGAGAAGATTAGGCACCCCATGCTATAGTCGCTTCTACCAGCATAAAACCAGGTCAACACGTGGCGGTAGCAGAGTCTTACCACAAAAACAGAATTTTAACTTTCATGTCTTAATATTTAGTTTTTAATTTGAATCTTTATATCTTTAATTTTAAATTTTACTATCTAAGGATTTCTCAGTTTTAAAAATTTTGACCAGAACTTAATATATATATTTATGCACTTAAATAATTTTAAGACACAATAAGGATCCTTATTTGAAGAGTTAGATGATAATTAATTGCAATTCATCAGCTCAAACTGGAGCACTGTACGTCTGATGATGACCCGGGGTAAGGATCAAAACATGTTGCGTCTGTAAAAACATAATATAAGCAAATGTTGATACAGTAGTGTCTTCTTTGTTTTCTAAATACAGAATATTATTGTGTAGATGGCATACCTTGTATACTTTTGTATATCTTATGGGTGTTATTTGTTGAATACTGTACCATTTACTTCAAACAGTTCCTCAGTGTCGGTAGAATGAGTAACTGCATTCTACTGCCAGTGCGAATGCTGACTACCACAGAAGACAATATAAAATTGAAAGCACTACATACAGTAGTGTCCTTCAATATAACAAAATATACTGTTCGAAAGCATACAGTATCAGTAACAAGTAAGTCAGCACATTCATATTCCTCATTGTAACATCTCCCAAAGGGAATTGTCTGATCTGACATGTTGAAACCTTCCCTGATTTTTTTTTTCACTGCAAGAGTACACACAACAAAATCCACTGTCAAAATTTTAGCTGCTAATACGCACTGCAAGTATTTTTTAAAAATTGCTGAACATAGCCAATATTGTAGCCTGCCAGATGCTTGGAGAAATGTCCACCCCTAGAAGAGCAGTATGCAACATGCAACACAGCAGACTCAGCCTAGGATGGGGTTGTACAAACCTTTGCCACGCACAGAAAAAATGAGTAACTTCAGCAATTTTTAAAAAAATACTTGCAGTGCGTTATTAGCAGCTAAAATTTTGACAGTGGATTTTGTTGTGTGTACTCTTGCAGTGGGGGGAAAAAAAAAATCAGGGAAGGTTTCAACATGTCAGATCAGACCTTTCCCTTGTCAGACATGTTAATCAAGCTACCAGTTTTTCTTATAACTGTTTCTTCAGCTGTTTCCATTAACTGATTTGGATTCTGAAGACGTAATAAGAACTACAGTAAAGCTCTCAATAGTCATGCCTCTACTGTTATATGCTTATGTTTCTGAGTGTCAATGCTTCATGTTAGAACAGAGAGGATACTGACTACAAAATCGATAGCAACAGCACTACAGAAGTGAAATATATATATAAATAGTATGTATCACTGTTTTATACATTTGTATGTCAAAATTTATAAACAGCTGCTTGTATTGCAATAACCACACCTCACTGCCAAACATATATGACTAGTGTACATATCCAACCACAAAACTGGCTGTAATTTTCATTACGCTCTTTCATATCTATTCCTTTTTTTCTTTACAACATACATGGCATATCACAATCTTTGACCAATATGATATGAAGATCATAATCTGTACTAAACAGTCTAAATCAAATATACACATATTCTAAGTAGCCCAATCATCTAGATGTATTGTCAGTGAATTAGTATATCATGAAACCTCTGCTAGTTCCATATAGAAGGTAGAGCACTGTGCTATCAGCCTGGATATTTAATTTTTAAACAAGATTTTGCTATGTTTTACTATGTTATAAGGGGCAGATTCTTTAATTTTGCTGCATTGTACTATGTTAGAAGGACCAAACGGTTAACTGCTAGCACCACACTCCATTACTAAATACCAAATTAACTGCCAATTATAACTCAGACTATGTTTCTTCAATGTTAAGTCAGTTTTACAAATCTAATAGTCCTAAATATGGAAGTGAATAATGCCACATGTACAAGTCATGAGTATGTTACATTCATTCAGTTAAATGTTGTTTATGAATATTCATAATGAAATGCATCATACATATATCCTTATATATAACATTCTTAAGGCAAGGAGAAATCTGTTTAGCATGAACTGATAAACACAGTTACAACAGAAAGGAAAGAAAAATGACATGATTAAGAAATATGAAAAGAAATTTGTATAGCTAGGGCACAACAAAAGGTACCCTTTAACAACAATTAGTTTTACACTTTTCTTGGACTTATCTTGATTTTATAGGACTTAAAATTATACAAAAGTTACTGCTGCTCAGAGCAATACTGAATAATGTCCATTGCATCTGGAATGTTTTGTCTTATTTTAATCTGTTTGTTGACTTATATATATATATGAGCCACATATTTTACAATCCCCAATCTGTGAGAAGAAAAATATCCAAACTGATTGAGACAACACACAAACAGTGGTATTATCTTACAAGTTTTATATAAAAATAAAATTAAAGAGAATAAATATATGCTCAATAAATTATGAGTATGGAATAAAATTACAATATATGGAGATTTTAAATTGTTTAAAAAACCAACAGTATGATTCATTTGTTAAAATATTGTGGCGTATTTGCTCTATGCAGGAACTGTTGAGCCACAGAGGTCTCAGGGCACCCTTGCAATGGGAGATTTTCGGATTGTATTGGTGCATTGCTAGGTGACAACTCTGTGAACACTTTGATAGTGCAACATCCCCACTTATCCCGTCACTATGCAATGCTCGGTAAATACCCCTCCCTGCTAGGCTGTCACATCATGCAACAGTGGAGTCTGTGCAGCGACTGTTGCTAGGCAATCAGTTGGTAAACATGTCCAACAATACAGGTTGTTTTCTGTGTGGTCCGCGAGAGGCCTGTGTAAGGGGGTTCAATGCACCAGACTTTTCAGTTGAAATATAGAAGCCGCTGAAATGACAGTTGAATTATAGCAGTCGTCAAGTACAGTTGGAACACAGGACAATGATCATACAGAGTTGAAAGCAGCGTTGAAATACAGAATTGTGAAAGTGAAGAAGTTATAAGCGACAATAATTGTACTTACGTATGTAAGTGTAAGAGCGAGTGTGCAATAAACATATTCGCTAAATCCAAGACTGGCGTGAAGCTATTTTTCGCATCACACAGCCAACACGCGACAATATTTATAAGATTCTAAAAGGTTCTGATGATGGCATATAACACTCAAAATTACCGGGTTTTTGGACTTTGTCCATCTTCCATATTCTAAAAAACTAGAGAACATAACATAAAAGAAATTGGATCTGTTTCCATTTTCAGGTGATTGGGAGACACCTGCTACACTCGGTCCCTTAGAAAGAGCTAACTTCAATCACTGGACTCAAGACAGTAGGCGTCTCTCATTCATCTGAGGCCAGAAACACATCCAGTTTCTGAAACATATTCTCTAGTTTTTAGAATACCAGACAGCGGACAAAGTCCAAAAACCCAGTAATTCTGAGTATATAACATGTATATACATACACACATATATAATGTCCATTTGGTATGCACAAGGAAAAGCCTGATTCCAGCCCTCTATATTTACATTAGCACTTGAAACTTCTCATTGTTCCTGTGGAACTCTCTTGGTATTAAAATTCACACTTCAATAGCATTAATCTCTTTCTACTATTCAAACACTATGTAACGTGTTCGGAAAAGACACTTCCACAGTAACGCAACAACAGTGAGCCGTTGCGTTGAGAGCGTCGAATCTCCACGGTTACAACGAATACACGGAGAGTTCCCACAGAGACAACACAATAACAGTGGGTCGTTGCATAGGAATCGCAGAATCAACAAAGCAGCGTTTCCATCCTTATAACAGAGGGTTCATTTGCATAGCAGCGGCCAAGGGTATAAAAAGGGGTTGAATGCATTCGCCAGACAGTCTCGTGGCAGATGCCGAGAGATATGGAAGTAAGTCTGGGAATAGCCGCTACTGAAGAGATCAGAGCCAAGATCAGTGGTACAAGAAGTAATCATAACAGCGAAGCAGTGGATAATAATTGTACTCGTAAGTGTATAAGTGAAGCGTCCAATAAAGATTCGCTGAATCCGAGACCCACCCATAGTTATTTGTCGCGTGCCATACCCAACATGTGACAACTACATGAATCAGCCCAATTGGCCACCATTAGATGTGCAAGTTGTAGATGAAACTGCTGGCCCAGTGTCAAGCTGCTACACTTTGCATTTTAGGGTGTAAAATACTTCATGCTGTAATTATTTTGTTGTATGCACATGTTGTGGTCCAGGTGTATATGGGTTTTCTTTGGTGCTGTCTGTAGCTGTGAACATGCAGTGTTCGAATAATAGGAAGAGACAAATGCTTCTGAAGGTGTGAGTACTAATTTAAAATACAAAGTGCAAAAGGATGCTGCAGTATAATATTTACAACTGAGCATTTAATGATGAATGTGAAAGCATTTTGTAAACTGACTTAACAATTCTCACACAAAACATGAAACTTTGTCATAACTATGAAGACTCTTAAGGTATAACTAAAACATGATCCAATACAGTTTTCTGCTTATGGCTATTCTTAACTATGGAATCCTTTCAGTAAACAGTTACTTTCAGCATTTTGACCTCCAAGTTTCTATAATAATTTGCACAGAAATTAAATACTAGTGAAATATATAAATAACTACAAATTCTAATATCAAAATTTTCAGAAATCCTGTAAGAACTTGGAAGAAAAAAGTGCAAATAATTTTAACATACCTGTTCCCAAGGAAGGGTTCTCATAGCCTTACAAAAATTCTAACAAGAACTGAACCCTACAAAATTAAATTACTTTAACTTCATACTACCATTCATTCACACACACACGCGCGTATGTTCATGCACACAACCGCTAGAATTACTTTAATGTCCAATGGTTGGTGTTGGGAAAATAATTTCCTGCAATATCACCTGTGTGCTGATTCAGTGGCACTCCTCATCTGCATACTACATAAAGGTGAGTTTCATTGCCTGCATGCGGTGTCCACAATTCTATATGAAACATGTTTCTTTCAATTACACCCCCCCCATACTGCTTATCCGACCTGCAGAATACAGTCACTCGAGTGAAACAGCTTTCAATTTTAAAGTCAACATATTTCATTTTCCTGAAGTGCTATACACATCATAATAATTATTATTGCATACTGTAAAATACTTTCAGGGTACAAATGAAGAGGCCTATGTTCTCAGCCTAGCTACGCAAGACTGCACACACTGAGTGTATTCACACTAATAGCTCTGAATCTCATCTTCTACGCACTCATGCTAGGTGAGTCTCTAACCCTTGAGCTGCTTCATGAGTCCTTCAGTTGAAAGCGACTTGGGTCGCTCAATCGGAAGACCCAGAGCCCTATCCCATACCAGAGATGCCAGAACTCCCAAAGCTCGAGACACACCAAACAAAACTGTGTAGTAGTTCATCTCCTTCATACCATAATACTGAAATTAGGAACAAAGTAAGTCATAAGCTTAATTATCAAGAGACACAATTTCAACTATGTGAAATGCTCGCTGCTCAATGAAACAAACATAATCAGACCTATGTATGTGAATTTTAAAATATGAAGTGTGGTGAATAAAGTAACAATGCAGAACTTGACTTAGAAATGTAATAAGATTATAAACAGAGATGAAGTTTCTGCGCAGTATGAAGAAACTAATAAGAATGGATAAAGCATGAATCCAGATTTATTTGGCAAGATCTGAAATCAGGAAGTGTATAAGAAATGTTGGTCAAATTAAATGGCGATAAGGAAAGGTGTTACACATGGACATAGAACTCCATTCAACAATAAATAACAGCTAGCCGGAGAGATCCAAGTGAGGGAATATATACAAAACAGAGAGGAAACAGGTACAAAGGAAATGGGTGAACAGAGAATTGCAGAGTAGGCTTTGTCATAAGACAGCCCATACTGGTGGAAATGTCAAACGCTGATGATGGCATCAGAATGAATGCAATCCTGAATTCAGAAATGCTGTAGGTAAAAAATGTAGGTACAGATATGGCTTAAATACATAAGAGGTTCTAAGCGTAACTTATGCAGTCCTACAAATCTTGCCACATTTACTTACTCATGGAGCTGAGCCCTTCTGGAGGAGCCACCAATTCTGCAGCTACTCAAGAATTTCCCAGCATTTTATGGAACCCGAAGGTTCATCACAGTGTTCACAAGAGCCCTCCACTGGTCCCTATCCTGAGCCAGATCTATCCAATCTATACCATCCCATCCTATCTCTCTAAGATCCATTTTAATATTGTCCACCCACCTATGCCTTGGTCTTCCCAGTGGTCTCTTCCTTCTGGCTTTCCCACCAATATCCTATACGCATTCCTCGTCTCCCCCATTCATGCTACATGACCTACCCACCTCATCCTCTTAGGTAAAATAAATGCATAATCAAACAATATGCATCTGTTATGCGCTGCATCCTATTGTGTCATGTACAATGAGAATTTTTATATCCGTCGACACAACAATTTCTTATAAAAATATACAAATATAGATTATTTACATTAAAATCTTAAAACCTTAAAAACATGACATGTTTTGACCCTTACTGAGTTATCATATTCTGAATATGACTATGTAACATGTAATATTATGCTTGGTAACAAACTCTTGGTATTATTTACTTTTACTCCAATTATGTTGGTACTGGATATAATCAGTGAAATTGATGTGTATTAGTTGAAGGATAAATTGAGGTCAAAATTAAGACTAAAATGCATGTATATGTATTAGTTAGTTCGCTGGTATACTGGTTGCTCTGATCTGCTCCCTTCCTAGTGGATTTGATGTATGAACTGTTGCATAGAACAGAAAATTATGTATTTTTTTCTGAAAGTTTGCAACATTGATTAATTAGGTTGCACAAATGTAAAATCCATTAAAGTTTAACATTACTGTTAGAGAATTTGGCTGGGACCATTCAAATAGTATGTAAATTTATAAAAAAAAACGTAAAATTCGGGTTCATAAAATTGAAGTTTCACTTATCATGTCATTCTCCTGGAAACTCTGAGAAAACCACAAAGAACCTATATGTATTTGGTTATGCTGTTAAGTCAAGTAAAATTTTCTGTAGTAAGGAGCTGCCGTTCACTGTATCTGTTATAATTTTGATGAAATCAAATAATGAGCATACTCACCTGAAGTAGGACACCTGAATGAGCATCCACATTGGGCCAAGGATTCTTTACCTTCCCAGTCTCCATAAGAATGGGAGGAACCACCTTGTAAACCTGAGACACCAACTGCAAAGCAATATATTGATGTAATTAATATCTATTTATATATTCATCCCAATGTTATTTTTTGAAAGGGAAACTACCTGTAACTACATTCTTAGGAACAAACTATATTAACTTTTACAATGATTTCCTTCTGCTGGAAACAAGAATTGCACTACTTTGGGCCCTGACCATTACACAATACCATGGTGCCCAGACATTTCTAGCATAAATGAATCCAAAACTGTACATATAATGGATGACACAAAAATGTTTTAAAAAATGATAAAAATGAAGGGCTCCAGAGATTTCAATAATCTCTCACAAATTATGCAAAACAGATCCAAGTATGTACACAAAAATGTTTATTCGGTTTCCTGATTCCATGCCTCTACTCAGTATTGGTTCAGAATTGCAGAGCTTGTATTTGTACCAAATTTAACTCTTAACTACATGATACTGTTTTGAATTGCCAAGTAATTTCATGTTGATGGTCCCAGCTCCGCTCCAGTCTTTGAGTCACTCAGGAATTTAGATTAATTAAGAAATTGTGGTGTTCTTTTGTAATTCTTTTCACTGGCTGCGAGAAATAGATTGAAAGAGCCTCCAATTGATAGGCCTCAATCTGTCATAGAAGTAAAGATCACGTACAGGAGTTTTACAGTGCTGTACTTTAAAAAAAAGTCTCGAAAGTCTAGTCAAGTATATACTACCACAGTCAATAAGTTCGTGGAATGGCTGCAAAGCGCTGTAGGGGAATTTACTGCCAATATGTTTCAGCAATGTTTTCGATAGCTATATCAACATTTGCAGACTTGCATAGCAGCCAATGGCAACTATTTTGAGGGCCAATGTGGATCTGAGTAAGTGTATGTGAATACCACTAATATGATGCGATAAAACCACATTCCACGAACTTAATGACTCTATCACGTATTACAATGTGTGATATCATGATGGTGACATCAAGTAGTTACCCCAAAGTAAGACAATATAGTGAATATATTTGCTTATCCTTGTAGTACACAATGACAAGTAAATGAAAAACTATAGTTACATGGTTAAGAAATAAGGGGGAAGGGTAAAGCCATCCCTGTAACAGACTGAGTCAACTTATTTTGGGGGACAGGTAACTAGAAGGTTATAATTTACGGTGAGCACCACAGGGACTGGAATAATAACATTATGAATAGTTTTGCAATTTTTGTTCTCACAGCAAGAAATTTACAAGACATCTAAAATATTGGTTTTGGTACATACTATCTCACGTAAGAAAATAAATCATTTTCTTGCACAATATCAGCAATATTTCCCCATGAATGCATAAATTAATGTGAACCTGAACATAATCTACCAATTTAGAAGTTCTCAGTACTACAGAGAGATTAATCTCATTCTATGGAAATTACGTGCTTTGCAATCATCAGCAAGACTACTACAAATATTTTCAGTATCTTGTGGGCACCCAAAAATCCTTTTGAGGGAACCATGGTGCCCGCAGGCATACAACTGGTAATCCAAGCTCTAGATATGACAGCAGTTTCTTACTTTGAAGAGTGGGTCATTGGGCAAATGTTTCTGTGCAAATTCCCTCTGGCAAGTGTAGCGAGGATCTGTCTTACGAAGGACAGCATGACCGTAGCCTGGAACAACCTGCCCACTCTTCAATGTCTTCCAGATGAATTCCTTTAGTGCATCATCTGATACATTATCACCTAGTTCTTTCTGCACTTTCTTGAGGAATATTAACACCTGAAACATACAAAGACATACCTGAAAGTCTAATATTCTAGGGTGACTGAATCAAGGGGGATGAGATTGGTGGTTAGAAAACCTTAAGGAAGAGATAATTTTTTGACATGTACAAAGTAGTATGAAAGAAGGATAATATAAATACAGATCTCAAGAACCATGATGTGCACTGGATTGGGCTGGGTCAGGATGTTATTAACCCGGCACTGGTGAGGTGGGAAAATGTAACAAAAGTGGTAAGGTGGGGTCCCACAGACCCCAGACATACTGTTGACTACATCAACCCCACCTTTTGTTTGGTCGTGAAACAGAATGATTCCCGGTTTAGATGTTCTCTCATCTACATTATCATCATAATGTAATGTGGAACTCATTATATTTTTTGGCGCAAGTGAAGCTATGGTGATATTGCAAAAATGGTAGTCATTGGGCTTCTTTGCTTGGTATTGATGAAGTCAGGTGACTATTCTCTTCTATTTTTCTTGATTGTTGCCACCATAGCTTATGATCTTCTACCAAGGATTTAGCCAATGGGTAACTTGTGAACCAGTTATCTAAAGTCACAGTGTGCCCTGATCCAGATGGAGGTGCAATCAACTTTGTAACAACTACAGAAGGTGTGTTTGAAACTTTGTACGGGCCTTCAGACTGTGTGCCAATGTAAACTTCCAATTTAGAAGTATAAAAGAACTTGGCATCAACCAAAACAAATACTTTCAGGCCATACTTTGCCAGTTTGCTTCGAATGTACTTCCAGAAGCTGCACTGTCCACGAAACACTTCTAACGTTTCATCAATCATTACGTTTTCTCCTAAAGAATATACAGACTAATATACTTCGTTGAACTTGTCAAAAATTTCTCTAACTGGAGCCAATTTGGTTTAAGATCTTCGTTTGGTTCTAGTACCTTGGTTGTCAAATCGTAGACATCCAAGAAGAAAACGGAAATGAACAAGTGACACTTGTGCGTCTAAATAATTCAACACCGGTACCGCCCGTGGCCCATAGGTCATCTACATTCTGGTGACCAGACTTATAAAAGCAGCTATATATAAAATTCCAAACACAAACTTTATTTCACTCATATCAGTCTTTTATTATTTTTGGCGTAATTTATTTGCTTTCTTTCTATTTCATTATTTGTGTTCTTCAAAATTAGGTCTATCATGTCATCAGGAAAAAAAATATCTCCCAGCAATCTAAAACTGATTTTGCATTCTTTGCGTTGCCCAGAACACCAGGGGCTTGGCTAACTATGGTATGTGCTCAGGTTCTTATTCGAGGTTCTAACTTGTTTTTACTCATCTTGCTTGTTTATCTTTCGCCAAGTAAAAGGCTCCCTCTGTGGATTCTTCCTCACAGACTTGTTCTGTATCAGACTCATGGTTACTGACTAATTCTAAATCAATTTCACTATCATTATCTCTGCTAAATGGCTCCTTGTCTGTCAAAGCGTCATCTATAAGTTGACGTAACCTCTGTTCTTCCTGCTCGTAACTCATCTGGCAAAAAAAAATATATCTCAAAATACCCTCTACATATTTGCTTATATTTGGTATGTAAACATATATAAGACACAGCAGTAACGATAATATTATAGTAGAATATACCGTATTTACGCATGTATAGGCCGCACATTTTTTGCCAAAAATTCAAGAGGAAAACTGGGGTGCACCTTATATTCGAAATATTCGAAATCACACTTCATTTAAAAAAAATGTTAAACGTTGCCAAATTTCAGAATAATTTCTACTCCTGAAATAATATTCCAAGAAAATTATTTTTTCTATAATTTCTGTCTGAAAATCGTGCTGTGGCCTATACACGCACGCGGCCTATACATGCGTAAATACGGTACATGAAAACAACTTCAGTTTTGGAAGTAAATATAGTCACACTTTTGGTAAGTTGGGTCTGGTGGACCCCAGCACATTTAACACATCTGCACACAAAATTTGCTTGCACGCAACAGCCTGTCGTATATGGCATCTAGTAGCGGGTTACGCGAGGGGAAGCTACACTGAGGCATGACTCAATGCCACACGTTCTTAAAAAGTTATAGTCAATTTAAAACCTTTGGGGTCTATGAGACCCCACCTTACTAACACCAGGTTAACAGCATGTTAATTGCTGGATTTCCTTAATCGTTTTGTTCCCATGAACAAGCCTGGTCTCTTACAGGTCCTGTCTCTGAACACCATACAGGAGTTTGGTTAAGAATTCTTTCTTGACAAGGTCAACAATTATTACTCCTGCAAAGTGCTTCCAGCAGGCAGTTTCTTCCTGTCACTATATGGCACTTGTAGCCAGCTACATTTTGGGACTTTCTGGCCACACTGTCATTGTCATTTATTTATAGTTCCAAAAAATCCATAGAGGCATCTGCCTCAGATATAGAACAAGTCAATAATACATGCAGATTGCTAACCATTCATTTCACAACTAAATGTTCTTGGGCTGTGTCAGTTGGTTAAAGATGACCAATATTTCACAGATAATCACTGACCTCAACTGGCACAGGCAACAGCCTGAGAAGCTCTATTAACTTCAGCCATGAGTTAGGGGTGTGGCTGTAGATGGGGTTTGGATTGGTGACTTGATTTATTGAGCATTTATATACACCACTCAGAACTACAAGCACAACATTATCATTGATCTCCAAACTTTACAAATCACCAGAGCAGCCTAGTGTCCTTCATCGATTACAGTCTCCACTAGCTGTATCCTGGCAACAAATTTTAACACTGGAGATTCTTGAGCTTCACACACTCAGGTCTTATCTTCACAGCCTCCCATACAGAACTGAACTCTCAACTGACAACTGCCAGGCTGGCAGCCATTTCACATCAACCTCCTAGTCTTCCTTTCACGGGCTGACTTTCAACTGACTGGGTTGCCCCAACTGTGTTCCTTATAGCTACTTTAAAGAGACTGAGTACAAAACACAATTTTCAACAGTGACTCAATCGTTGTGTGTGGATTCATTGCCGCGGGAATACGTTTAGTGATTCGTTGCATAACACCATTGTTTATTAGCTTATTGCACAGCAACAGCTGCACATGCTACAACAGTCATCAATTATACGAAAGGTATATTTTTAGAATTTTTGCTATGATGAGCACTTCTCTCCTTCCTGGATGTGCACTGGTACATATTTAACAGTACGGTTTAGCCAAAAATTTCTGTTCTTCAAGAACACTTCTGGCACCATTCATACTTCTTGATTTATTAAGAGAATGAGTGGGGGAGGGAGACAGTAAGAGCTATCATCTCTGGCAGTCTCAAATCATGTGTAAGGTAAGAGCAGTCAATGCATCCCAAGAAACATCAAAGGAATCACTCAAAATATTTTCTTCACGCAAAATATATAGTCTGGTGTGGCTGCACCATTTACTATGCTGTTGAGCCAACCTACGCTGCTCCATTCTCCTTTATACTCAAAACTCACATGTATATGTGACTATACTCAGGGTTTAGATTGGTAATTGGGGGAGAGGGGATAGGCAGACAGGAAATTGATCTCATAAGCTTTCTTTCATTTTTTAAAAATAAGCAGGCTGAAAATAGATCTTAAGGAAGAAAGCAGTATGGAAATGAAGTGAAACAAGTGACGCAGGACTGTCTAAGAACAGACTGAATTTAAGAATGATAACTACCAATCAGCTCCGAATTCTTTGTCTTTCCATCTGCTATCGAAAAGAAAAGAGAAAGACAGAGGAAGTGGGTAAAGCTGTCCCTGTGCTTAATTAATTACGCACTATGCTATGATGACATATGGGGAGTGGAGGTATAGCTCCACCATTCTTAACATTGGCACTAGATGCAGGTGGGTGGTCAACTTCATAACCTGGCCACTTTACTCTTGGAGAAAGAGTTCCCAGTAGCCCCTGGATGGGAGTCTGGGTAGGCCCCAGAGCCGGTCTGGACACTGTGGAGAGAAAAACCTTGCCCCTGCTGGGAACTGAACCCCAGCCATCCAACCCATACACACTCAATATAATGACTTATCATGATTCCACATCTACATATGTAAAAATTACAATATACAGGACTGTCATACTACCTGTTGTGTTCTATGAGTGTGAAATTTCATCTGCTACTTCAAGGCAAGGGGGGCACACAGTAGCATAATTGGTTGGAGCATTATGCTACAAGCCGGAAGGCGGCAGGTTCTTTTCCTGATGAGGTCATTGGATTTTTCAATTGATCTAATCCTTCCAGCTACATTATGGCCATGACACTGACTCAGCCTCTAACAGAAATGAGTTCCAGGAACCTTCCTGGGGCTAAAGGGTGGCCATGGCATAAGGCTGACAACCCTATGAGCCTCCAAGTCCTGTTAAAGGGGTAACTTTACCTTACATCAAGACAATAACATAAGATTATGAATGTTTGAGAACGGGCTGCTGAGAATGTTTGGACCTGCATAAGAAGAATCACTGGGAGGGTGCAGAAAGTTGCATAATGAGGAACTTCACCATAATTTGCACTCATTATCAAATAATTATTAGGATGATCATATCACAAAGTATGAGATCGGCAGGGCATGTAGCATGAATGGGAGCTTACTCAAATCTTTTCAGGCTTTCAGACACATCAATTAGTTAAAAATGACTAAAGTTTCTGGACCATATCTGTCCCAATTATCAAGACCTGATGATCCCTGGAACAATTTTCCCTTTTACCAACCGACATGGCCAACGGCCTGAGAAGATTTAACTTTAGCCATTGTGAAAGCTTCGATCTTACGTGCACAGGTGAGATGAAAAATTTATAAGGCCTGAAGCGAAGAGATTACTTGGAAGACCTAGCTATAAATGGGATGATATTAAAATGGATCTTAAATAAACAGCATGGGAGCAAGTGGAATGAATTCACTTGGATCAGGATATGAACCAATGGTAAGTTCTTGTGAACACTGTAATGCACCTTTGTATTCCATAAAAGGTACGGAATTTCTTGGCTAGCTGAGCGACTATTATCATCTCAAAGAGAACTTTGTTCCATAAAGTTACTAAATTGAGAATTAAGCCTGGTGTTATCATGAATTAATAGATTAATGTTCAGAACCTATTACTGGTTTGTCTCCACATGTAAAACATGTGCATTTCATCCCATAAAATCAAAATCTGGGACATCACCACTCACCTCCTGATTTGCCAAACCATGAAGGGGACCTGCAAGACCATTCATACCAGCTGCAAATGATAGGTATGGATCAGACAGTGCAGAGCCCACAAGATGAACAGTATGAGCACTCACATTGCCTCCCTCATGATCACTGAAAAAGACAAATATCGTATATATTAGCTGTCCAACTCTCGAGTTTCAAAAAGATATTTACTGTATAAAACTAAAAGTTAACATTATATAAGATATCATCAAAATATCCTATTCATTAACTGCTAATTTCATAGAATATATTTTAAAAGTACCCCATAACATGCTGCTATGATGCATTTCCCATGAAAATTACACAAAATATTATCAATGGTAAAAGTACGGCATTCATTTTCACCAAAAGTTCTTGTCTATTTTGTGGTTTATTGACAATGTATATGGCTTAGTGGTATGACTGACGAATGGGAAAGGATCTGGAAGGAAGTGGTTGTGGCCTAATCAAGGTGCTATCCTGGAATCTGCCCAGGGAACTAAGGAAAAACCGTGTAAAATCCACAACAGACCATGTCCTGGCCACAATCTGAATACAAATCTAAAGCATTACTGTTAAATCAACCAGCTTGGTTTTCTTGCCTAAAGGTAGGGGTGCTTAACTTGCTGCCTACTTCATACTGATTTCTTGCCTGGTTTACTCTTCAACCCTGAAGATGGAGGCGACATGTTCCTCCAAAATGTCACTTGACTTTCAATAGAATATATGTTGAAGAAAGCAGTCTTCTGGGAAGTGGCACTGTGTAGATGTGGTGTTAACCGACGTTTCGGAGGAACGTCGGTTAACACCACATCTACACAGAGCCACATCCCAGAAGACTGTTTTCTTCAACATACATTCTACTGAAAGTCAAGCAGTCTGCTTGTACCGGTTCTCACAGTCTCTTCGCTTGCAGATTTCTTATTTTTCCTTCTACCCTGAAGATGGAGGCGATATGTTCCTCCGAAACGTCGGTTAACACCACATCTACACAGTGCCCAGAAGACTGCTTTCTTCATAGTCACCGCCGTGAAAACCTCAAATCTTACACAGCATATATGTTGCTATGTCCAAAATATAAATCTTTATGTGGAGTAAATTCCGCAAGTCCGTGTGATAGGTTATGAGGATCAGAGGTGGAGAGAAATGGGTCAAGCTTTGGTACTATGGCATTAAATATTTGGGTTCTGCTACCACTGTTGGTTCTTAGTCCTTTAGTATTTCTTTGTCCTCTAATTCTTGTTATTGCCATTAGGGCCAGCAACTAATTCTTTTGAAACATGGCATGCAGTTGTGTTTTGAACAGTAATTCCTTATGTTGTCTGTGAAATTTACTGTCAGGCTGGACTAGGATAATGGGTGAATGCATCCATTTGTCAAATGAAGTATGGACCTGAAGAAGCAGCTAGTTTTCTGTGCTGTTATAATACTGCCTATGAACAGAATATGGACAGCACCAGGACATAACTCGTGCAGTCATAATCTGGCAATTTCAGCTAACAAAATCAAGAGAACTGTGCAATGCAATGTTTGTTTGTTTGATATTACTGAATCTGTGATTATCAAAGGTGGCAAGTAGTGATTGCGTATAACCTTATTCAACAGCAAAAGAATGAAACATGTACAGCAATACATCTTTTAAGGGAATCTCCTTATCATCTCCATGAATACAATTTTTGTTCACAAATATCATGAAATTCCCCCTTGTTGGTGTCTCCACCTTATTGTGGTGAGGGGGTTTGAGTATGCCAAGGACCCTGAGAGCTATACCAGTGGTAGCGTAGCTACTGGCAGGGCCTCCCTTGCTGGACAGGTCAAAGGGTAGGCATCAGACGAAGAGAGATACCAAAAACTGATGCTGGAAGTAGTGTCATCAGTAGCGACTTGAAGGACAGAGCAAATGATGCTCGAGATGGTTCAAGTTCATATAGCAACCGGCGTGACCAGAGTGGTTTGAACAGCTGCTGTACTGCGATGTGGAAAGCAAATGGAAAGACTACCACATTATCACTTTTCCTGGATAGTCTCTTTCCAAAAACAGAAATACCATGTATGTGAGATGTTTCCTCTGGAGACGAATCAATCCGGAGGTAAACTACTCCCCCAATCGGATCTCCGGGGGGGGAGTGTTTCTAGAGGAAATATCACGCAGGCGTTACAACAAGAAAAAGTGAGAAGATCAGAAGGAACATCATGGCTACAAGATTGGAACATGGAATGTAAGGACCTTGAATCAAGCAGGCAAATTGGAGAATTTGAAAACGGAAATGGAGAAGAATGAGGTGTCTGTTTTAGGTGTCAGCAAAGTGCGGTGGAAATGACAGGGGGAAATAAGAAGTGGTGATTATACAGTGTATTATTCTGGAGGTGAACGGGCTGAAAGAGGTGTGGCAATAGTGGTGCATAAAAGTGTAGTGAGGAGTGTTGTTAAGAAGATTGTTTGTAATGACAGAATTATTGCTCTGAAGTTAAAGGCGGAACCGGTAGATATACTGATTATACAAGTGTACATGCCAACATCAGAGTATGAAGATGATGAAGTGGAAAAAGTGTATGACACAATTGAAGAAATTCTTCAGGAAGATGGAAGAGGTGACACAAAGAGCATCATATTAGGAGACTGGAATAGCATTGCTGGAGATGAATCATATCAGAATATTGTTGGATCACATGGACTAGGAAGACGGAATCACAGAGGTCAAATGCTTATTGACTTTTGTGAACGAAATGGATTGATTGTTACCAACACTTGGTTCAAGAAGCCAAAGAGAAGAATTTACACATGGAAGGCACCTGGGGATTGGAAGAGGCATCAGCTGGACTACATCCTTGTGAAACATCGATTCAGAAACAGTGTGAAGGATGTGAAGACGCTTCCTGGGGCAGATATTGACTCTGACCACAACTTGCTGGTTGCCAAGTTCCGAACCAGGTTGAAGAAAATTATAAGATTTCAAAAGCGCAGACCCAGATGGGATTTGGAGAAGTTATATGCTCAAAGACAAAGCGTGCAAGAGACTCTAGAAGAGAAACTCGGTGCAATTGAAGGTGAAAGCGGAAATGCTGAAGCGCAGTGGAACGATATAAAAGAATGCATGTTAGATACTATCAGTGATTTGGTAGGTAAAGTTGAGAAGATAGCAAGAAAACCATGGGTTACACAGGAGATGATGAGTAAAATGGAGGAGCGAAGGAAATGGAAGAATGTCAACAATGAAGAAGGCAGGAGGAAATACAGGAGACTGAGGAATGAATTGAAAAGAGCCACGGACAGGGCCAAAAAGGAATATCTTGAGAAGATATGTAATGAGATTATGGAATTTCAAAGAACAGGCCGTTATGATTTGATGTACATGAAGACAAAAGAACTAGGATGGAAAGAGAATCATGGGATTCAAAATGTTGGCATCGAAGACTCCCAGGGGAATAGAATAGTAGATCAGAGGCAAGTGCTGAAAATTTGGGAAAATTATATTACAGAACTATATGATCAACCTAATCATCCAGAAACCTTAGAAGTTGAACCGGAAGAAGAAGTAGATACAGACGAGAAAGGACCATATATTTTACAAAGTGAGGTGGAAAAAGCTATCAAGGAAATGAGGAAGGGAAAGGCTACAGGAGATGATGATGTACCTGGAGATGTGCTCAAGTTACTGGGAGAAGGTGGTTTGAAAACACTGACAAAACTAATGAACACCATATATGAAAGTGGAGAGTGGCCCAAGGACTTTACAGAAGTTACAATGATTGCCTTAAAGAAAAAGACAAAAGCTACAAAATGCAGCGACCATCGCACAATAAGTCTTATTGCACATACAGCAAAGATAATAGCAAAGATACTTAAAAGAAGAATTGAAAGGAAAATAGAGGATGTACTTGGAGAAGATCAGTTTGGATTTAGAAGAGGAAAAGGAACCAGGGATGCAATTGGGATGATGAGAATTATAGCGGAACGAACTTTGGAGATAGATGAAGAACTGTGTGTTTGCTTCATAGACTGGCAGAAGGCATTTGACCGGGTAAACTGGACCAAATTAATGCAGATCCTGAAAGAAACAGGTATCGATTGGCATGAAAGAAGATTGATTAGCAAATTGTACATGGATCAGAAAGTTAGAGTACGACTGGACAGGGGGGAGACAGGAAGTGTGCAGATTGGAAGAGGAGTTCGACAAGGATGCTGTTTATCACCAATTCTGTTCAACTTGTACAGCGAATGCCTTACCAAGGAAGCTCTGGATGGGCTCGGTGACTTCAAAGTAGGAGGGCAAATTATTCAAACTGTGAAATATGCAGATGACCTTGTGTTAATGGCTAAGGAAGAAACTGTGCTACAGGGCATGATTGATAGACTAATTGAAATTGGAAGGTGCTATGGCATGGAAATGAATGTGGAGAAAACAAAAGTAATGAAAATTTCGAGACAACCAACCCCAGTCACAATAAAGATAGACCAAAAACAAGTGGAGAATGTGAAATGTTTTAAATATTTGGGTAGCTTGTTAACAGATGATGGAAGGTGTACTTGTGAAATTAAATCCAGGATTGCCATGGCAAAAGCTGCATTTAGCAAGAAGAAGAATCTTTTTACCAGCAAATTGGACTTAAATTTGAGGAAGAAACTAGTGAAATGCTACATTTGGAGCATAGCTCTGTATGGGGCTGAAACATGGACACTTAGGGCAGTAGATCAGAAACATCTGGAAAGTTTTGAAATGTAGTGTTGGAGAAGGATGGAGAAGATCAGTTGGACCGATTATGTGAGAAATGAAGAAGTGTTAATAGAGTCAGTGAGCAGAGGAATATCCTACACGAAATAAGAAAACGGAAGGCTAATTGGATTGGTCATGTATTACGCAGAAACTGCCTTCTAAAAGAAGTTATTGAAGGAAAGATAGAGGGGCGGATAGAAGTGACAAGAAGACGAGGAAGAAGACGTAAGAAGATGCTGGATTACCTTGGGGACAGAAGAGGATACTGTCATTTGAAGGAGAAAGCTCTAGATCGCATTAAGTGGAGGAACTGTTTTGGAAGAGACTGTGGACCTGTCGTCTGACAGATTACTGATGATGATGATGATGATCACGAAATTATAAACATATGGTGACCCTGCATTGGGTGCCACTTATAGCAAAACCTTGATCTTATATTCATGCTTTCCTTGATTCTACAAAAGTTTTTACTGGTCCTGCCAAAACCTCCATACGGGCAATATATGCTTGATTCCTTGATTATACATCCAAACTGACTATAAACTAGCCTGGTGATGTTTTAAATGCTTTTAAACTGGAAATCAAGAAAAAATTTATGTTCAGTCGTAACTTCCAGTCTCCTCTATTGTCTTTGTGTACACTTACTATTGCATGGTTTCAAGGATATGCCAGCAGAACTGAGCCATGTTCCCCACCATCACGAACCCTGCATAATAAGGAATGGTTTGTAATGGAAATTTTATGCCACAGTAAGTACCATGTGCTTATTACGTTCTTATATTAGTTGCTCCTCTTTGAATCTACTTCAGACTGAACTGACAAACACTTTTACTTTATTTTCTGGTTACAATTCATTATAAGTGACTGCAAATTCCATGTCTTATTATTAAGTCGTTGTGCCAGTGTTGCTCTGTGAATCGTATTTACTCATGGAGCTGAGCCCTTCTGGAGGAGCCGCCAATTCTGCAGCTACTCAAGAATTTCCCAGCATTTTATGGAACCTGAAGGTTCATTACTGTGTTCACAAGAGCCCTCCCCTGGTCCCTATCCTGAGCCAGATCAATCCAATCAATACCATCCCATCCTATCTCTCTCAGATCCATTTTAATATTGTCCGCCCAACAACATCAGCAGGCTAGTTTATGGTCAGTTTGGATCTATAATCAAGGAATTGGGTAGAGCACAAGCATATATTGTCCGTATGGAGGTTTTATTTTATCTTCTGTTGGGGCGTGAACATTCATAACAATGATATCACACCAGCGACCTTTTAGTATGATATATGAAATCCTATCACTAACGAACTCTACCCTCTTAACTGCTGATACAATTCTCTTATGTATGAAAAAACCTGTACCTAGTTCATGATTTCCATTCCCCTTTCCACAGAAAAATGTATAGTCTCCTGCTGGTGCGACGCCACCTCCATCCCATCTGACCTCCTGTACCCCCGCTACATCTAACTTATATTTTAAGATTTCTTCTGCCACTGCCCTGAGTGAACCTGCCCTATACAAACTTTGAACATTCCAAGTGCCAAATCTCATATCCATTTTCTTTAGCTTAGGTCATTTATCCAAGGAATCCGTCCTGGTCCAAGGCTTTGTGTTCATTTTCGTAACATATTTATTTTTTATGGTGAGGAGTTGTTAGCCCCACGCCCAACACCCAAGCTGGAGGGCCACCCCTTGTCGGCTGTCTCCGACTGCATATTCAATATATTCACAGCTTCCCTCCAAAACTGGAGGGCATCTCCTCCATCCACAACCTGAGGATGTGCCATGCCCTGGTGACAAGGGACCCACCTAATATGGGCTCTGTCAATCTACTGCACATTAAACTAGCGAACAGATTTATTTTACTTTCTGATTGTGACTGGTTCTCCTTCAAGGTGAGTGAACAAAAAAAGGGGAAAAACTTCTCTATTCAAGAACATTCCAGCCCAAGTGAACACTAATGAGGAAACAGTTGCATGGGCTGCCAGATTAGGAATTGTTCTGTCAACACTGAAAACTACTGCTAAGGCAGGAAAGACGTCAATAAGTGTTATACACAATGTACCAGGTTCTCTGGCCAAAGAAAGAGCCTGAAACAGTCAACACTTGACAAAATGAAGAATTTGTTGTCTGCATGTTTTAAATAAGCTAAAGGCAGCAATTCAGCAATCAGTGGCACACTCCACCATATTGCCGCAAGGTTCAGCACTGAAGATTTTAAAGCTTCTAGGGACTGGATCGACAGTTTCAAATAGCGACAGTGTTGTGTACAAAACTGTTATTGGCAGAGTGCAAAACAGCACTCTTCAACAGTGGAGGAATGGTGCAAGGAACACTTACTAAAAATTACTGACGGCAGTGACTAGTACTGACTAGTAAGTGAACAAGATGATAATTGTCGTTTCAACAAAATAATTTTTCAAGAATTCTTTACACACATCTCAGATTTCTCTACCTGTGAATCATGAGGTAAAATCTAAGAGTTCAATTAAACCTGGATTATACAGCATACCTGTGAATTGTGAGGTACAACCTCATAAGTTCTGTAAACTCTTGATTATCATAGCCCAACATTTCACAGAAGTTTTGACTCCAGTCCTTGCTAGTATCAATGGCCCCAACACCCTTACCATCACGGTATGTGTTGCGGTAGATAGTTGCTGCTACGACAGGCAATTTTGCAATGAGATCCATAGCATCTTCGTATACATACTGTTAAAAAATAATAAGGGTTTAATACTACTTCATACTAACAGCAGACTTCTATGCAGTGGATGTAGCATACATACAAATATACTGCTTTTAAACGCACAGCTACTAAATGTCAAATCTACAGCATCATTCAATTAAAGGGGGTGGGAGGAAACTGTTCACCTTGTATGAGGGCTATTCGAAAGGTAACCGCCATTTATTTTAGTCAACTATTGTGGGTGCAGAAGAGAGCTAGCGCATGTGAGATAGCATCACACAATTAACTGCCTTGTAAACTATCATAAAACTGGTCACATAGTGTTTGTTCTTGTCTCTACAAAGTGAGTTATGATGTGTCCTGTGACTGATAAGCCCATAAGCTGTGAAATTCGTGCTCTAAGCTGCTTTCTTCATCCTAAAAACATGAGTGTTGTGAAAATCCATCATGAATTATGCACAGTTTATGGCGAAAATATAACAATCAACAGTATTCCAAACGGTTTGTTTCTTGGGTATGTACTGTCTGAAAATTACCCGCCCCTTGGAAAGTATTATAACTTTGTCCACAGCCAGATGTTTAGGAGTGTAATAATTTGAATATGTGTCATTCAGCACGTCAAAAATTTGTCATATTTTCCATAGTCCGCCACAGCCTGAATCATTACTGTCAAAAGCATCATCGTTTGAAGAGTGGATAAATGTAAGAATGAAGAAATTTGTCGCATCTCATTATTTTGCCACAAAAAGTCCAAAAGAACTGTTCAGTAATCAGCAAATAGGCTTTCAGATCATCATCACATATGTCATGCCCCATATGAACAGTAACTGCCAGAAATAGAAACATTTCAAACTCAGTGATGTCAGGTACACGAGAAGGCCCATCGTCAAGGAAATCCACATACTGCTGGTATAGTGCTAGTATTTAGAAGTGACAGTCCAGGAAAAGCTGCGCAGTGAATGGGCAGGTCCATTTGTGAAAGTTGAGGGGTGTTGTTGATTAGTCATTTGTTTGTTTTCAGTGCGAGCAGACTTCTCAAGTTAAGAGCATTCTTCCTTGTACAGTCAAGTTAAAAAGTTTTGACTCTTGGACTTGTATTTGAGTGTATTATTCTCTATTTACTGAATTAATATTTTATTTTATTGTTTATTTTTATTCGTTGATTTTCTATTTTGTTTATTTATATTTGCACATTTTTTCTATCTCCTTTAACATGCCACCTACACGAAGTAAATTGAGTGCAAGTGTTGCATTCACAATCAAGAGAAATTGTTAGTAATGTATATAAGTATATGAAAGAGGCCAGGCCAACAATTACAGTGAAGAACATAGGAGTGGAAGTAGTAAAGGCAACAGGTGTATCGGAAAGTAGTGTCAGAAGACTAATAAGAGAAACAAAAAATACTGAATCTGGGGCTTCCACTTCCTTTTTGACACCATATAAAGAAAGACCTAGCAAATCTCAACTAGCCACTTTGGACAACTTTAACGAGTCTGTGGTGCGAAGAACAATTAATGACAAGGAAGGACAGGCATGTGGAGATGATCTATGCGGACGTTGCCGGTGTTGCCCCTTTAGAATAGACCTGTGTAATATGTAAATAAGCTCTTCCTGTATATAACAGTGAAAAGTGTATAATAGTGTATAGTGCATAATAAACCACCAACACTATGCAACACTATGAAGTAAGAAATTATTTCCTTTTGAGAACGCCTGTACTACATTCTCCTCCATATTTGTCAGCATGCTGGAGCTCTCCCCGCCACTACCAATACTCCATGTCAGAGGACTGTCACTTCTAAATACCAGGGCTTTAATATCAATTGATCTTCATGAAAAAATTGATAACAGCTGCAAAATACAATATGAAAACACCATGTGGAGTTGAGTCTTTATTTATGTGGGGTCCCACATTCTGTCCCTTGCAAGTCATGTCACTAGTGAAAGGATGGATGTTAATGCTTCTCTGACCTGTCACTTGTCCCCAATTCAATATCCCATGAGGTAAAGGTTGGGCTGGTTATCACCTTATTTTCAGAAGTGTCATATCTATTGTCATGGACACCCTCAACTAACTGGTCCATTATAAGACTTTACTTCTATACTTCTTGGTGGGGTAGAACTGGCATTTGTTCTATCATGCCACCTTCCTCAGTTGTTTTATCAGTTTTCCTCAGTCACATCTTAGTCACTGTCAAGTATCGGCTCGATCTTGTCTTTGTCAAAGAGTTCTCTCTTGAACTCCTCTCTGACAATGTCATGGTTCTTATAAATCAGAGAAGAGATATAAAACTCAAATTGCATTTGGAGAGTTTGAAATACACTGAGCTGGTCATCTGCTTCCAGTTGCAACAAACCTAACTGGGAATCATGAATGAATGTTACCCTATGGTATGCCCAATTCTCTTATAACGGTTAAATCATTGTATAGAAGGGTCATGGTTACAGACACACACCCATCAACCAATGTACAGTTGTTGTAAAAATCTGTGGCACATTTCAGAGCTAAACATAAAATCAGGTCAAATGATGAAACTTATTCTAGACTGGTCATTTCAAAATTTCAAATATAAGTTATGGGTTAATTCATAACAATCCAGTTTTTATCTTAAAAATACTGTCGGCAAACCAGAGGAGTAACTTCTATGGAAACGCTACAATAGACCGTTACAATACTGTAAATACAACGTATTTTCTGAACCACTGTACCTAGGATATTTAAAGGCATTTAAAAACCTCAGCCAGCAGCCAATATGCAAGAGGTTTAAATGCCTTCTCCTAAAGGTTAGGATAAAGTACTTAAAAACCCCTGCCAGCAGCTAATATGCTGAGGTTTTGAATGCCATCTTCCAAAGGTTAAAGTGCTTAAAAACCCCTGCCAGCAGCCTATATGCTGGGGGTTTAAATGCCATCTCCTAAAGGTTAAAATGTATGTGTCTGTATGTGCTTGTATATTCTTTTCCCATGTAATCAAGTGTCATCACTGATATAATTTAACCACCAATCTTTGATGCAGTTTAAACCTAGTATTAATATTCCAGCAAAAATGTCTTAGCTCACCTCCCAGTATTTTGATTTGTGTACACCAGAGGAGTAAGCCTCAGCAAACCTGCTTTCTGAATTGAGTGCTGTAATTGCACTGCTGAATTGAGACATGGGATGCAGGGTTGTAGGGAAGTTGTTCAGTAGTGTCACAACATGTGATGGCAGCGATGCACGTGTTGCCCATTCTTTTGAGACAGCTTGCACCTACACAACAATATAATGAATAAATTGGTTGTTCAAAAGGTTCCTTACATTTTTTCAAATGCAATGAAGTAGAAAACTATATACCACAAAGACAAGGACCATCAGTTGTACAATACAAGGAGAATATTTCTGATCTGTCAAAAAAAATGTCTAGTACTTGAATGGCGCCTTCAAGTCACTGGATATGTCACTTAGCATAAGTAATCATTATTCCTTCAGATACTGCAGCCCCAACAACAATTTCTTGTTTGCATAATTTTCTGGAGCTCCTGCAACAGCGATTCTGAAAGTCTCTTTATTTTGTCATCGCAGGTAGGTCACAAAAAGTGTTGTAACTAAAGAAGTGTGGCTGCTGTATGTTGGCATTATATTTAGTTATACATAAATGCTATTATGTGGGGGAGGGGGGCACAAGGTAGCATAGTTGGTTGAGGCATTGTACTACAAGCCAGAAGGTCGCAGATTTGACTCCCGATGAGGTCTTTCGATTTTTCAATTGATCTAATCCCTCCAGCCACATTACGGCCCTGGGGTCAACTCAGCCTCCAACAGAAATGAGTACCAAGAATCTTCCTGGGGGTAAAGGGTGGCCACGGCTTAAGGCTGACCTCACTGCCATCTGTGAGTTGACTATCTAGAAAATGTGACAGCCTCAACATTCCACAACCTTATGGGCCTCCACAGTGTTTTACTGGGATAGCTTTACCTTTCTTTTTTTTTACCTTAATGTTATTATGATCCATGTCTTATTGGGATAGCTTTACCTTTATTTTTACCTAAATGCTATTATGATCCATGTGGCCGTGTATGAAAATAAGATGAGGTTATTCACTATCACTGAAAATATATCAGGCAGGAAGAAAGGCATATATAATTTTATACATTTATGTAGAATATAAATAACACATCACTCAGGACACAAATTTTGCTTACAATGAAGAAGGGAAAGAAGTGAAAGGAAGAGGGCATTAATAATTTTATGAAGAAACCCTAAGCTATATTATATGTTCAAAATAAGTGACTTTAAGAATCATTCATTACCACAACAAGGCCAAGAAAATTCCTACATCAGGTTAGGAATCTGTAATTACAAATTGGAATTCATGTGACAGAGATAAGGCAATCTTTACAAATGACAAACATACCTAAGATTAGATAATATATTATTTCAATCATTAATACTTTGAAGGACACCATCTTTCGAGGTCAGATATAGTCCACTTTAAAAAGATGTGCCAGTCATTGGTAAAACTGCTACTAAGACTATTGCATCACAAACAATATCATACCTGAGCTTCATTTGGAATATCTCCAGTAATAAGTAGCCAAAACAGGCCCTCAGGCAAGGGTTCAGAGCCACCCTTAGCTTTAGGAAGCAGTTTTTGGCACTCGGGAATAGAGTAACCACGGAAACGGATTCCCTCATCGGGATCCAGTACAGATGTTTCACACACAAGTCCCTTGATGCCACGCATACCTCCATACATCTGTAAAAAGTATAAAATATGAAAATTAAGAGAAGAGCTTCAAAATGTGTACCCTTCTCCTAATGAAATTATATGAGCTGGATGGCTGATAGAAGATGAAATGAGAAATCGAATACAAAATTCTGGTCAAATACCTCAATGGTACAAAATTTTCAGAGACCTAGGCATAGATAGGACAACATAAAGCTAGATCTTCAAGCAACAGGAAGTGTAAAATACTTGGGAAAATACAAAGGATGATATATTACTTAACTGAATAGGCCTACAGCAAAATCCAAATTTAGTGTTGCTGCACTTCATGAAATACCATATTTATTGACTATTTTATGTCCAACTTAAATAATGTACTATTAGTGCTGTGGGAGCCAGAGCAGTGCAGCCACTACAGCACCTGGCTATGGGCTGGATAACCGATGAGTTGGAATAAGATTTTTCTCCTCTCCGCATCATCCAGAACAGTTCTGGGGGCCTATTCAGCTTCCTATCCAATGGGTGCCAGGGAATCTTTCCCTGGAGATAAAGCGGCCGGAGTGCGAAGCTGACCACTCACCTCCAACTAGTGCTGAGGCCAAGAATATGTGGATCTATACATCTGCTCCCCCATACGTCATGGCATAGCACTTAATTAGTTAAGGACAAGGACAACTTTTTTATTATTGCCCCTGTTTTAGTGAGTCTTTAATTAGTGAATAATTTGCACTTCCTGCATGATCTTTCAACATTTCGGAACTTATGCCTCAAATTAGTGTGCATGAAATGGAAACACCAACCAATAGCCATTTTTTCTCTGCCAGAAATCAACACCGCATATCTACCTTCAGCAACTGGTATCACATACTGAATTAGCACAGATACCACATTGCTTTGACTCTCAAATAATTTCATTCAGATTTCTTTCATGTAATTAACTGTTCGATATAATCTGATATTAAAAAAATTATAGTTTTGTATATTCTAATTTTTATGTTTCTGAACAGCATGTGAGAAGACAAAAGGTTCTGGACTGAATGGTAGTAAGCATTACCCGAGTTCAATTTCCTCATAATTCCCTTCTGAATCAGGTTTCGATTTGTTATCATTCCCAAATATCTGAACTGTGCCACATTTTCAAAACATCTGTTACCTCTTTTTATGTCATGATTTTGCCCTTCATTTTGGTGACTGAGACAGCAACAACCAACCTCCTTACTTGCGTCAATTGAAGTTTGTGTGTTTTTCTTCATGGCATCTATATTATCACCCAGTTGATTCACATCGGCACAGAGCAACAGCTGATGTGTCCCATTTAATTTCAGTTCCGCCTGGTTTTCCTGGACCTTCCTAATAGCATATTCTAAAGCAAAGTTGAAAAGGAGTGGCGATAAAGCATCTCCTTGTTTTAGACCATTCTGGATAGGAAATATATCAGCCAATTGTCCATCTATATGGACTTCACCATACATTTCGTTGCCTGCATATATATAGACAAATGAAATGCAAATATTTTCACAAAAAGTGCATCATCCTCCAGCAAAAGGCAGTTTCTGTGATGGAAATTTTTTGAAATCATTCACAGGAGTTTGGCGAAGAACTAATCACCTACCTTCTTTCCACTACAAATTGAGTATTTCATATGAAATGCAGGGCAAAACTTTATGACACATGTGTACGTCAACAAACCGATAATATATAAACTCTACTGTTACTGTACCAGTATTAATAAACTATGCTTACAATTATTTACTTTCACAAAAGAATGGCAGACATTGCTAAGAATGGGCTGGCATAATGTTCTTGACACATAAACAGAAATCCTGCATCACCAAGTCAAAATTATATGTTCAGTTGCCAGGACATGTGCGCATGTGCACATGCACACAGATTCCCTCTCCCCTCCCCTTTCTCAAACACTACAAAATATAATAGCAGGATATATTTAAAATATTTTAGATGACAGAAACAGCTTATATTAATAAAACAACAAAAAGTAACACTCCAAATTCATGCTACATGGCTTGTTAAATGGATGGGATAAGTCATATATCTGTATGGGGTTAACAAAGATAACAAAGCAGGTGACTGTGGTGGCAGAGAATCAGACTGAACTGGTAAAAATTTCAGCAATATTGAGTTCTGCATTCAAGGCCATAAATGTTTACAGTAAAATATCACTAGTGGTACTTAGTGCATTGGTCATCAAACTTCAATTGCTGCCCAGCCTGACTCCTCACACAACAGTAGACAAACAGAAGAGGTTGCAGGCATGGGCCAAATTACCCCTTCTTCACTGGCTTTCCTGTCACTCACACAACCCCCTTCACCCCAGCTATTCTAACTGGCCAGCCAGAAATTAACATCAAAGCTAAATTAAGTCTAAATTAATTGATCACCTTACAATTAAATCATATTTTCCAAAAACAAATATAATGAGGAATACCTGAAGCAGGAAATGGTATTCCCTTAACCAACAGAGATCAAAATAATTAGGAGCTCTGAGCGGAACACATAAAGCCTACTTTCTTACTGCACAGGTCTGCTATTGCGGTAGTGTAGTTGGTTGAAGCACTATGCTACAAGCCAGAAGGTCGTGGGATCAAATCCCAATGAGGAGGATTTTTTCAATTTACCTAATCCTTCCAGCAGCCCTATGGCACTGGGGTTGACTCAGCCTCTAATAGAAATGAGTACCAGGAATATTCCTGGGGGTAAAGGGCAGCCAGAGCATAAGGCTGACGTCACCGCCATCTGTGAGCTGACTAGAGAATATGGGAGCCTTAAAATCTCACAGCCCTATGGGCCTCCACAGCCTATTACAGGGATACCTTTACTTTTTTTTACAGATATGCTATACTGGAATGACTGAAACTAATGATGAATGTATCTACAATGATGATAAAAATGATAATAATAAACAGCAGCAGCAGTAGCAGTAGCAGCAGCAGCAGTAGTAGTAGTAGTAGTAGTAGTAGTAGTAGTAGTAGTAGTAGTAGTAGTAGTAGTAGTAGCAGCAGCAGCAGCAGCAGCAGCAGCAGCAGCAGCAATCCTTCAGAAATCCAACAGCCATAGTAAACATCCTAATCTCAGTATCTCAGTAACCAATAACAAAAAATGTCATTAAATGGTGCCCCACATGGCATGACAAGATGTTCATACTAAATTTCATGAAGAGCAGTCCATTTGTGAAAATTGATTGGAGGATGGTGATCACTGCAGTTTTGTCCCACTTTTATCCATACATCTGTGATGGAACACAAGTCCTCTTCATTTTGCCATACCCATTCAAGGTCAGTTACAACTGAACTAGGGATCTAACTTCCTCTGACAAGCATTTAAATTAAGGATCCTATTCAAAGCATCTTGTTTATGACTACAGTTCAGCTGTTTAATTTTAGGTGAAGGCTCTGGCAAGCTAAATTAGAAAGCACAGCTACAAAAGTGAAGGAAAAAAGAGCTATCCAACCAAAACGTGAAAAGTGTGTGCTACAAACAAGAGAGGTGAAGCTAGGTGCATCTGGAAGTTTTGTTCAGTGGCACTTCCAAAAGTTCCTGTTTTGAGAGCTATTACTCTCGATAACAATGCCAGACACCACGAGACAGTGTTCTGCAATAATGAATCCAATGAGTAAAAAATAAAACCATATTCTTAGTCAGTAGAGCATTTCAAGAACCAAAGCATTAAATGGTTGGGAAATGGAGCATCCAAAATTAAAAGGTTGCCAGTAAGTGATGTTAAAAATAAATAGGCAAAAAAGACGATGGAAAACGGTGCATAAAAACAGTATCATTCTTTGTGATTAAATGAGTCACTTCACATGAAACGAGAAAATTTGCACACAATTTTAGTTCCATAATGAGGCTTTCTGGTCACAATATTTTGAAACAGAAGTGAAGTATGCACTCACTCCTTCTACTCATGTTGTCCAGCCCTCGCTGTTGAACCTACAAAGTACAGTCCTGTTGTTCCCAACGTGCCCTTGTTCTACACTATGCCAGGATCTAAAATTAATACACATGACGGTAATAAAGAGGCTAACTTATTTTTGGAGAAGAGAGCAGTAATAGACCTCTTGCGTTGGTATCTGGAACAAACATGACAACTGAATGTGGGCCAAGAGATCTAGAGCACAGAAAGCTCTTAGAACTCTTTATTTAATTGCAATTTAATACTTAAAAGACAAGCAAGAACAAATTCTTGGTCCATTTGCTATCAAAGGAAAAGTGAAAACTTCCTGAGAATACAAAATCTGGTATGAAGCCTTTTTTCACAGATAGTGCCCTCCTTATGAATGAATTTGAAGTTATTTATTGAAGCTATTATAACTGCAGAGAATAGCATTAAATCAGCTGGAAAGATGAGCATTAGTGGTGACAGGGATGGATTTGCAAGGAAGCAGTTGTAGCATGTTTCAAACTATAACATAACACCATGGAGAAGAGTCCTTTTTGAAAAACAATAATTGTTTAGCAATCATTTAGCCGTTCATGATATTGGCCATTTATGAAATGCAGAAGCTTATTACCTTGTTCATAAGAGTATGCCACGGAACCTTATAAGATGAATCAGTCCACCCAATTTTAAGTTCCAGTCTACTATCATCCTCCCATCTACTCCTAGGTCTTCCAAGCCGTCTATTCCTTTCCGATATTCAGACTGAAATTCTGTATGTATTTCCCTCCCCCCCCCCTCTCATCCTCCTCAATTTCATAATAATATTCAGCAAATAAAAAATTATGAAGCTCATTATACAATTTCCCTTGCCTGGTTTCTTCCCCCTATCCAGGCCTAAATAGTCTACCCAGAACTTTGTTTTAAACATCCATAATTTGCCTTTCTTTAACATGGCAAGGGGTCTAATCATTCAAGGTAAAATGCCAACATTCATCTGGAATGGAAAACAAAAATCTTGGTCAGGTTTGGCAGGACGTTTTGTTCAAAATGTTGGTAAACCACACCACTGTGCACCACCAAGGAAAAAGCTCCCCCCCCCCATCCTGAAACATGCACACATATTTGCATGTGC